GAGTTTTCACACTTTTATAAGTTTTGGTCCATTTAAATATTGGGGTTAATTGTCCAGTGACAGCTTTAGGTTATGAAGTCCCATCCTCCCAGATGGTTCTCCTCAGTTTGCTGTTTATACTTTTTGGGCCTGAAGCTGCAATGGTGTCCTTGGTTCTCAGGCTGCAAAAGGATTGTTGTGTCTAACTAAACTGTGAGGAGAACTTGCTAACACTTTATAGGAAGTTCAGAGTTATGAACAAATGCAGTACAGAATCTGGAAAATATGAAAGCTAAAGCTTAAGGCATCACCGAGAGCAGATCATAGGCAGACAAACAATGCTTTGTGCAGGTGTGACCAGAGGGTGAGCAATCCTGCAGCACCTATTGTTACTAAAACTGGCATTTTTTGAGTTTCCCTTTCATATCTGCATGTTGCACTGAATGTTCCCTAAAACATGGCAATATGTGAATGCTGACAAGATATGCTGATATTTTTAGATGCACATTAATATCCAATGAGTAATCCTCAGGGAAGGAAAGTTTCACCATTTCTGGGAGGTGAAACTGTTTCTTTGGTCATAATTCACACCTTACTGTTGTTGGTTTGGCAGGGAAAGAAAGAATTTATGACCCTGCTCTCCCACATGTGCTCGCTCCCAAAGCGGTGTCATCTCTGATGTGGCCACACTGCCAAATATGTGAAACCAGAATGTCAGAAATCCATACACTTACTTCTCTGCAGTGTGGATAAGTTGACATTTTATCCACTGTGACCCAGGGCTATGGGTTGCTCTATCCATGGTCTGCATATGCAGAAAGTGTTAGGTATGTGCTACTTCTGGAGTAGGTTCTGTGCTTAGAGAGTGAAGCTGAGTGAATAGACCCCAAAGTCAGTCCTGCAGTCCCACAAACTGGCCCCATGAATCCTGCACATCAGCATTAACACTGCATTTGCTCTGGTGTTGAGATCTCCCAGCACTGATTCTCATTAAACATTCCATGTTTCCAAACCTCATCCACACCCAGGGAAAGCTTGGCCTCTGCTTTTAGCTGTAACGAGGCATACAGGCTCTCTTGCTTGTTTAAAAGCCTACTCAAATGAGATCTTGGTTCCTTTTCTCTCTCTACTTTTCCCTAGCTTCCCCCTTGCACTCCAACCACCTTGTCAAGAGCCCTGGATGCACCATGCAGAGGGTGATCCCATTCCCAAGGGTGACAGTAGCTCAGATTCCGTCCCCTACCTGCCACAGAAACAGTGGCTGCTGGATGATAAGACACTGACCCTTCACCATATCCCATTTACCTACTCGCTGTCAGTACAAGCAGAAAGGAGGGTGTGAAACACTTTTCTTTCCCATGACATTTTGTTTTTTCCCTGGAACACGTGCTGCATCTTCAGAGAAAGGACCTTCAGACAGTTGTGGCCCCCTCCCAGATTCTCTGTCCTACTTCCTGCACAGGCTGCTCATTCAGCCTGGGAAAACCAACTTTTTTTTTGGCTTTTGCCTCTTTGCTGACTTGAGGTGTCTGCCAAAAAAGCACTTCCACAAGAAATGCAGTCAGCATATGCATATCTTTGGAAACAAAGGCTCTCCCTCAAATTTTGGGAAGAAACACCCTGAAATGTGACTACACCTCTCCCTGTCTTCAGCCACGAGGATATGAATGCATTTTCTTCCCGTTTCTATGTTTTTCAGCAAGCAATGAGAGAAATGAGAGTTTATTCATGTTCACTATATTTTTAATATTATTCAATTCAGCCTCTGTATTCTGATTTTTGTCACCCACAGACTTGGATCAGTCTGGGAAACCTAATTCTGGTTCCCAGGTAGTGATAAGGGGGCCCATCCTTACTGCAGTCTCTTCTAGACATTAACTTGGCTCCCACACTTCAGACATGATCTAGATTGGATTTACTTGGAAAATAATGTTAGGAGAGCTTTGTATCAGAGAAGCCTTCACTTAAGCAAGATGGTGACTGTGTTCTAATTAATGACTACCTGTAGTCACTAGAATTAGTTCTGAATATTGTCCTAGGCTGTCAGTGTGCCATTCCATGGGTACTGTACACAGGCAGTGACAGGACAAGGGCAAGGGACTTTAAATAGAAGGAGAGTACAGTTAGATTGGATATTGGGAAGAAATTCCTCCCTGTGAGGGTGGGGAGGCCCTGGCACAGAGTGCCCAGAGAAGCTGTGGCTACCCCTGGATCCCTGGAAGTGCCCAAGGCAAGGCTGGACAGGGCTTGGAGCAACCTGGGCTAGTGGAAGGTGTCCCTGCCCATGGCAGGGGTGGCATTGGATGGGCTTTAAAGTCCCCTCCAGCCCAAACAAGTCTGGATTTCCATGATTCTGTGATTCTCTATTACTATCCTTTCCTTGCATGGTTTTTTTTTCAGTTTATGATGGCAGGAAATAGCAGCATTGGTGTATGCCAGCAGAAAGCACCAGGATCTGATCACTCCAAACGTCTACAACACCCAGATGGAAATGAGTGCACATGGATGCAGCCACAGTTCTTTCTTCTCCACCATTGGGTTCATATCTTATTGCAAAACTTTCTTATGGATCAAATTGTTTGCTGATTTGACTTATCCAGACTCATCTTTTTCTAAAAAAAATCCTGAAGTTTTTTGAGAACATAGAAAGCTTCCAATTGGAAAAAAGGGAAATATTTTTGTCTCCTGTTTGAGAACCAGATAAACCTGTGCCTTTTTTGTTCTCAATATGCACTTGGAGGGATTTTTTTCCTATCACATTTATCTTTATAGAATCCAGTTCTGGTAAAATAAAAATTCTCCTTATTCCATGAGCCTACAGGTTTCAAAATCCAAAACTAGTCCATGACTAGTGGGCTAGGAAATCTGGCACAAAGCTAGTGAGTAATGACAGGAGGTTTCCACTACTCCAGTCCAACACAATGAATGTGTTGTGTAGTAATCAGGTGATGTCTCACTTTTGGGTCTTCTTCTGATCTGTATCTTCTATTATGGACATATTTATGCACAGTGAAGAACTTGAAATCTTGGCAGAGAAAGATATGTTAAAAAAAACACCCTAACTCAGACAAGAAAGTTAAAACATTCATAGGGGAAAATTTTAAGAAGGAGGATGAAAGGTGGGGGGAAACCCCCTCAGATCACTTACTGTGACGACTGGTATTTTTCCTTAGTGAAAGAAAGCAAATGCTTCATCATTGCCTCACACTTCCATCATAACTTTTACTTTCTATAAGCAGAAGAGGACTTTCATTTTTGCTTTTTGTTCACTTTATCAGTCTTTCACTTGTTTGAAAAGACTAAACAAGGTACTGAGTAGTAAAACCCAACTATCTAATTTTTCAAGTTATTGTAGTTGCCAAAAACATAAGAAAAGAGCAAAAGAAAGACTTGAGGATGAAAACAGAAATACTTATTATTTTAACTTGGGAATCTCTTACTAATGGAAGAGCAAACCAAAATCTGGGCATGTAGTAGAGAGGCTGAGATACTTTAATTATCAGCAAAAGAAAACAAACAAGAATTAATCCATAGATTAATTCCTCCAGCACCAAAAAAAAAAAAAAAAAACCAAAAAAAACCCAAATAAAGAGAAAGAAAGAACCAAAAACAAACACCAAAGAAAGAAATAAACAAAACAAACCAAAAAATCACTAATTTTAGTTCTGAGCAACTTCTTAGTATAGAAGGTCTGAGGAATTATCCAAATGGATGGCTTAGAAACATTAAAGCAGATAAATATTTCTTAAATCAGGAGATACAAGAATCACTCAGGGAAATATTTCCCTTGGCAGTGGGCTTTCTAAAGGGTTTCTGTCCTTGTATTTTACCTTGTCTTCATTCACTTAAAAGGTGTTTTCTCCCCTGTGCTGCTGGGGTATTCCTGGAAGTGAGGAGTGTGCCTTAAACTCAGATTAGGCTGAATTCAAATGACACTGTAATATAACAAATTGTAATGAATAATGTGAATTTCATTTAATAGAAGTCCAGCTGAATTAAAATTGTGTATGAATGAAATGGGGGGGTTTTGCTTTCTGTGCTTGCCCATAAAATATCATTCTTTATGTAATTCTTTCCCTTTTAAAAAATTCAAATCGTCTTTTAAATCTATGACACAGATTCAGACTGAATGTAAGGAGGTACTACTAAACCATTTTGTATCAATTTCCTTCATTTACCCTGCATTTAATAATGAGGACTTCTGACAGTCCAGCCATTTGTTCTGTTCTCTTGCAAGAGGCAGCAAAAGCTTCTTGTGAATCCCAGGTTCTGCTGTCTCAGATGTGCTTTTTTTTTTTCTGCTGGGATGTGTCAAATGGCAAAGAACCTAATTCTGATTCACAGACATTCACATTTAATTACTTTCAGTAATTTATAATGTTTAATTAATGACTTGCATGACTGCCAGCTTTATAAACTGGATTTCTTGTATCAGTAAAAGGGAGTATTTTTAAAAACTGAAAATTCCTGCACTGAAAAGAATGAAAAAAATATCCATCTACTAAAGAATTTTAAAACATGTAAATTTTAAACATTAATTTTAATCTAAGTAGCATGGCTGTACTTGGGTGAGCAGTTCAAAACAGAGAATTTGAAGATTATAATGCGAGTATTTGGGAGGAGGCAATGTGTGTATATACTTGATTCTTTTGGTAAATATGCAAAGCAAAGACTTTTGAAAAGAATTTTGGTCATTTGCAGACAGCCTCTCACCTGTGTCCTGTAGAGCTAATGCAGCCTTCCACTGCTGTGCATCCCACAGTTCCAACCTCCTGCCCATCCTAAAACACTCAGTGGGATCACTCTGATGTCTGGATGTCACATGGAGCACCTTGGAAAGGACAAGCCTCAGGTGGAGCATGCAGTTGTCACTTTTCCTATGGCTTTAACTTTTTGACAGTTTCTCTTAAAATCTGGAGTCAATCTCTTTACCTACCCCTCCTGAGTTCAACACACACAAAAGTGTACCAAAGTTACTACTTTTGTGTAAGAAAAAAGAATCCCACAGCATTTCTTTGTAATAACTGTTCAGCTACAAAATTTTATTGGTCTCCTTCTATGTTCCCTCTAGAGGATGTAATGCACAAAAGCATTGCCACGGAACATATAAAATTACAAATGAAATTTATTGTAAAAAGTAGAATGTCTTCTAGACTGGTGTCAGTATTTATTTCATTCATAAACCAAAACTGCAGGTATAATATATTCATTGTCAGCAAGTTCATGTGTGTAAATTGCCATCCAACAGTATTGACTGATATAAGACAGATATTGAAAAGACAATTTAAATTTACTCTTCCAAACATAAACTGTTCCACAAAAGCACTGTAAAAACTCCTTCAAGGTTTTGTGTTGTGCTTCACATTTATGGTTAACTACATAATTTGGTTGTGTCATAATCCACTGTGTTTGGCAATTTGGCATTAAAGGCCTGCAAAGCAGATTGGATCCTCACCACTTCACTGGTAGACAGTTTGAGTCTATGACGGAGCAAGCAAGAGAAGAGGTCCAGACGACGTTGGCCAGGTGGAGAGAGTTTATTTACACGATCCCGAATCTCCAACAGCTGCAAAAGTGCTGAGTCCTGTGAGCCCTGAGTGTAGGGGTAGTCCAGCTGCAAAATCAAGTCTCGAATTGCTTCTGGGTCGAAGTGCATGCTGTAGCCAAACACTTGGATGTTGTTGATTTTCATGTAGCCCAGATTTCTTGAGGGATCAATAAATTCCAGGGGTTCATAGTAGATGCTCTCATTGCCATTTGGACCATTTGACTTTATTCGACTCCTCAAATAGATGTGCACAGTTTCAAAAAATGTCTTCCACTTGTTGCCCAGAGTCAGCGTCCAGTTATAACACTGAAGGGGTAAGTCCAGTTTAGTCCGCTCCCAGTCTGGGAAATTGTTTTCATTCACAGGCATAAACCAGCTCTCAGAGTGGCTGCCCCCAAAAGGGTTGATATAAACAGCAAGGACAGGCTCTAAGGTGCTGTTCTTAGTCAGGCAAATTTGCAGAGAGAGGCCCAGTATCATATGGACCAGGCTGGACTTGTACTTGTTGCTCTTAAGAGTCAGGAGCATCCGCTTGCGCCACGAGGGATCGAACCAGCTGTTGAGGCGCATGTCATTGCTGATGAAAATGGCGTGGACCTCGATCCTCCGGTCTGTCTTCTGCAACAAATACTTCATCTCCAGGTCCTGCAGGTCCGTCTCGAAGCCGATGTAGTGCTCGGTGGAGTCGGCCACCTCGGGCTTGCAGAGCCCCTGGCTCAGCATGTAGCCGGCGTTGCAGCTCCCGCAGCGCGTGCGGTTGTCGGGGGCGCAGCTCAGGCACGCGGGGCCGTCCCCGACCGTGCAGGGCAGGAACCCGTGGCAGGCCACCTGGTCATTGGGGCAGGTGCAGGTGTGGGTCTCTTCGGAAAAGCTCCCCAGGAGCCCGTTCTCGTTGCAGTAAAGAAACGACTGGATGCGGTTGAGCCAATAGTTGGAAGACCTGCAACGTAAAAATAACATATTTTAACAAAGAGAGGCCCGCGCGCGGCAAATACGGCTTTGTTATATTTTATCAGAAAGAGAAAAATAAAGCTAGCTTTAGTGTCAGATTAAGGCACGATAGCATCCGCTGTCAGATAGATACAGGTATAAATTGCCTCTTAGCAATGCAAAATCACAAAAGAAAGGTGTCCTTCTAAACCCACAGGCATGACAGGAGCGTTTAGTTCATGTATTTGCTTTCTCTGTGTCTCTGTCAAGGAAGCCTGACAAAGAGCCATTTTCTGTAACTGTCTTCAGATTAACATCTTGAAATCCTACGCAGTTGAGATTATTTTAGTGTGTTCTATTTGACCAAAGAAGTGCTTTGCGTGTATCTAAGTGTCTGCAACTTTACTATCCCTCTATTCTATTATGAAGATTTTAATTTTTGTTACTAGCTGGAGCGGCATTGATTTATAGACAGTGAGCCAAAATTCTTTCCTAGAACAGCAATAGGTCCCTGCTCCCCACCTAAAGAGATTCTTTAGCTGACTTCCAGCACTACAGAATCTCTACAGGAAGCCATGCATGAGCATGTTGTGTTTACTTTTCATCTTTGGGGACAAAATTAAAAGATCACTTTAATGTTCTTCTTGTCATCTCATTTTGGTTTCACTAGGAGGAACAGTTAATGTCCTACATCACACTGGGAAAACATATTGAAACCAGCAGTTCAGGCTGATGAGGCACAGCCACTAGAAGAAAGACAATGGGAAGTGCAGAGCTCTATAAAAATAGCCAGAAAAGGTATCATCTTTGCATTTTTCAGCTCCTATTATTCCCAGCAGTGCATAGTTTAAAGAACTTGTTTAGTCTGCTGCAATCAGATTTATTGTTGCCACATGAATGATGATGGTTGTACAGTTTTTTACCCTTTCATTACATTGTTTTGGGGAGAAAATGCAAGACCCTCATTTACCCTTGACTGACTTTTAAGTCACATCTGAATTTGCCTCAAGGAGAAATCCATGGCAACTCGAAGTCGATTTTTTAGAAACATGAAAATAAAGTTCAGTAAAAAATTACATCATTGTAATACTCTGGTGACTTTTCAAATCTCTCTAGTTTTTCCATTTTTTAGGGCAGGAATCTTGGTTGCTCGGGGTTGGAGGTTTATGCGGCTATAGCTCTAGGTATTTTCTAGAAGCATAAGTAAATATAATAACATGCACAATGTAAACATACCTCATCATTATTCTTCTTTGTGCTTATTTGAAAGTCAGCATTAAGCAAAAACATTCTGGGTGATCTTATTCCTTTGTTTCCTGATTAAAAATCACAATGTCCATTCTGCAAGCAAGGTCAATGCCACAAAATAAAAGTTACCCCAAAACTGAGAAGACCTTGAAGCTGTCCCAGGTGGAATGGGAAGTTCCTGTGTGTCTTGTTTGTGTTTTGACAGCAGCCTGCACATCTGGAGCTGTCCCAGCCAGACCAGGAGTGTGTGACCCCAGTGCCCATTTTGGGCTGAACTCTCCTGTTTATTGCTATAACCCCATGGGCACCACAGCCACCAAAACAGAGCAGATTCTTCCCAAAGGATGGAAACCAATCTTTCAAAGACCTCTCTTTGCAGCTTCTCCCTAATCCTTTGTGCTTCTCTGTGCTTATTTAAGAATTGATACTGAGGCCCAAAAGCTGCTGGAGGTAAGATATAAAAGTCTGGTTTGTTTACTTTAACTCTTTGGTTAATGCCATTTGATTCACAATAGATTCATAAAGTTGTTACCTTGTGATTCATCACACTGGGCAGATAACTGGGCAGATTTCAAGGCTTTATTATTTGTATTTTAATCTCTAAGTGTTCTCTAGTGTTATTACTGCCAGGTTCTACCACATGACTACTGATATTGACTGGGTATTTAACTGTGACTTTTAGCATCCTCCTCCACTTCTTTTGGGAACAGAAGTCCTTGCCTTTGAAAAGTTTTGTTATATATTAGGAACACTTTTCCAGAACACATTTACAGAAAACCTCTTGTTACATAGACCAACTCTGAGCTTCGAGTTGTGATTTTGAATTCATCTCAGTAGAGGATAAACAGCTGAAGAGATTTTCTGAGTCAATCTTTGAATATCGTTTTAGTGATGTGTATTGGGTGTCCCTGGAAAGATTTTGTCAGCAGGGGGGCAAGCACAGTGGTGTCCTCTACAGAAGGAAGCTGGGGTGGGACACAGCTGGGTCCACAGAGCTTCAGCTGGTTCCAGCCAGATGTTCTGGTCTTGACTCAAATGCTTTTTTAATCTTAACTTCTTCTCCCTTCCTACTGAATGCAGTGAGTGAGAGACTGGCTGGATGAGTGGGGGCAGTGGTTAACCCATCACACAATGAGATAATTTCCAGCTTAAAGCTGATCCCTGTTGTGTTTCATGCACCCTCTCTTCCTCTTAGAACTAGTCACTAGCATGACAGTTTGTCATATTTATATATATGATGTTATCGCTTATAATTATTTAGCATTGAAACATGTTTAAAAGTGTTCTATTAGGTTTTTTTACACGGCAGAGGTTTTGTGTGGGAACTCCTCCACAGTTGGATGGGAAAAGTATCTGGAATGCAGAGTGCACCAGGCAAAGATAAAAGTGAAAACTGTGGCATTGCTTCAGACTGGAGGGGAGAACAGAACTGGGAACACAGGGAAGGTGACTGCAAGAGGGACAACCGCTGAGGAATTTGGCACTCTTGGAAGAGGAGAATTTTATACTGTTGGAATAAGCCCACTTAAACTAGCAACATTAATTTACTGGCAAGGGTTGGTTTGGGTTACTCACTTTTCCAGCTACATGGTCTATAAAACATTGTTTTTTTCTCTTTTAAAGATGCAATCTACTGTTTCCACAATTATGAGAAGCAAAATCTTTAAAGTCACTTATTTTTTGTTCTTTTTTCTTTTTAATGAGTCTACCTTCCTCCTTTGATTTTGTTAGGGAATAGAAGCAGAAGAAGCATGAAATTACAAACTGCAGAATTAGGTAAATTTCTTTCTATAACTTAGTTATGTTGTTTGTAACTTTGTATTATCTTGCTTATTTAAACTGCTATGTCTTTGATGATTAGCAGTTGCAAAGAGGTCAACAACTTTAGAGGGAAGGAGGTTATCTCCTTATTCCAGTGAAGTTCAAAACAATAACCTTCTAATATTGTTGCCTTATTTTGATTCCTTTTAACCTGGTTTTAACCAGAGAGATTTCAAAAAGAATCTGCTTATACTTGTCTTTGATTATTTAAAAAATACAGTATATTTTAAAAAAATAACATCTACTTCCTTATTTAACTGCTTGTTTTAAAATTAGTCATTAAGGAATACTGTGACTCTTTGTAAATTTATTGCTTTCAGTGGAGTAAATTAAGTAAATTATGTGAAAGTACATAAAATGTCGGCAATACCTACTTTATTTAAACCACTCATCCATAACTGGATAAATTCACGCTGGCATGTCATTATGAAATCATTATTTTTCTCCTAGCAATTCAAGATCAGACAAATTCTGGACCCTGGAGCCAAGGGAAAGGCTTCATTGGTTGCAGATGTGTCCTGCAGGTCAGCACCTGGCTGAAGAGCTGGTGCAGTTGACGTGCCCACAGCCACTCTAAGGATGGTGGCAGCTGGGGACAGAGGGGATTCCAGAGATCAGAGGTGACATCTCAAGTGCCAGACTTGCTAACCCTGTGACAAAGGCTTCAAGCATTGTTGGCTTGGGGCTGGATTCTAATGGGGGCTGAATGGGGCTCTCTCCAGGGAGAAGGGCTTTTCAGTGTGGTTTGGAGCTGCATCATCCAGTTGGAACAAGATGATCCATAAGCTCCTTTCCAACCCAAAACATCCTGTGATCCTGTGATTCATTCTGTGCAGAAAATGGTGCACCTAGGGACCCTTCTTTGTGCCTGGACACGGATGTGTGTGGGAAACAAGCAGTTTTGGACACACTTCCAGTACTGTGACTTCCTTGATATCACAGAGATGTGGTGGATGGACAGAGGCTCCTTGGTGAAACCAGGTAGAAGGGGAACAATTGCACTCCCCCCAAAAAGAAGACTACAGAACTCAAACTTTGCTGTTGAACAAGCAATGGACTGGTCAGGATCTCCAGGGCAGGGATGAGAGGAGAGGACAGTGAGAGGGGCACTGTCAGAATCTTTACACACCAGAAGATAAGAGAAAATGGATGAAGCCTCCCTTAACCAACTGGAGAAAGCAACATGACCACAGGTGCCGTGAGTGGGGCTTGGAAGAGCTCTTCAATTATTCTTTTAACAAAAATATATTATTATTTGATTTGGAAAAGTACATATGCTGGTCTGATGAGTTAATTTTCCAAACACCAGGGTACAGAACCAGGTTCCAAACCTAATGAAGCCAGCAAGAACATTCTTAGTCACTCAGCTGAGTTTCAAGTAGAAATGGAATGCTGGGAATACCTGTGTCTTCCTCGTCATGCAAAATGATGTGGTAACTTATAATCAAAAGCTATTTCTGGTTATTCACCCCCTTGAAATCACAACTTTACTGTAGAAGTAAACTAATTTTTAGCTTAATTAAATATGATACTAGGTAAGTACAGGATACTTGTCAACTTATGTAATGGATTACACCTTCCTGGAAATTGTTTGGAATGTTTTTAAACATCTTTTGTTCATTAATATCAAGTCATTGAAATCAACCTTTCTAAACCAGCACAGAAGTACAAAAGAAGTGATAAATCTGGACAGAATTTATATGAAAACATGAATACTGATTGTCCTGCTAGTAGAAAACCTGTTTTCTCTGTAGGAAATAGATTATCAAGCTGCTGCTCTGATTTATGAACACTGAACCAGGTAACCCACCCAAATTCCTGCCTTTTAGTTGAGACCCCAAAACTGGGTCTCCATTATTCTGGGGTTTGAATCTCACCATTGAATGCAAAGAGCTCCAGCTCACACAAATCACATCTCTCATGGAAGAACAATTCCTCCCT